AAAAAGGAAAAAAAAAAAAAAAAGGAAGAAAAAACAATGTCTAGTGAGCTAGTGATGTAATCTGGCCTATTTTCACGGACAAGAACTTTATTGGCTCCATTGAGAATGAGGCCAAGGTGGTGTTGAAAAGGGACTAGGGGATTGAGGGGGAAGTGCTCCTTTTTTTCCTTTCTTCTCTATATGATCGTGTAGTGGCTCTCAAAGCTTTTCTAGAGGACGTGGATTGGAGTGTAGACTAAGCTATGTTGGACTCTCACTTCTCAATGGGAGGAAGTTAGAAGGATGGTTCTTGGGAAACGTTGCTCTATGCCTCCATGTGTTTTCTTATGATCTTTCTCCAAGATAATTGAGAGTTTATCAAAGAGGACTTTTGAAGAGTGCTCAGATGAGTTCTTTGAGAGTGGCATTTTGGGTAGAACTTTACATAAAACTTTTGTTTGCCATATTTCGAAGAAGGATAGACTATGAGGTTTGAGATTTTCGGTCTATCAGCCTCATGACTAATGTGTATAAGATGAGAAGATCTTTGCCAAGGTGTTGGTTGATTGACTTAGAAAGGTTCTCCCCATGACGATTTCAGAGCAAAGCCTTTACAGCTAATGAGGCTATTGAGGATTATAGATCCCATTAGTGGGAAAGGGGTCATCTTTAAGATTGATTTTGAGAAGGCTTATGATCGTGGATTGAGATTTTTCTTGTAGATCGTTGTGAAGAAGGGGTTTGGGTATAAATGGACATTGTGGAATTGTAACCTTCTCTCTCATTTTCTTTTCCTCTTTGTAGTGGACATCGTAGTAGAGTTATTACAAAATGATTGTAGGGTAACATTCAGCAGGGGTTTTAGATTGGAAGGATAGAGTGGCCTTGGTTTACTTTAATTTGTTGATGATACAATTTTTTCTGTCTCGAAAGGAGGGATCTTTCTTAATCTGAATCAAAACTTAATATTTTTAGGGTATTTTAGTTCTTAGGATTGATAACGCAAATGTTAGATCTTAAGTTAAAATTGTGATTCTACTAAAATTGGGCAGATGGGTGACCTTTGTGGGGTGTGAGGTCAGAGCATTTCTTAAGCCTAGGAGCCTTATGTTTTAGGACCCTGTCGAAGGAAAGATTTGAAGGAGATTCGCATCTTGGAGGAAAGGTTTTTTCTTCAACGGTGAGACAGCCTAAATGGTATCCCGATTACTTTATGTGATTGTTTAGAGTGCCTAGTGCAATAAGCGAGACAATTGAGAAATTGATGAGAGATTTCTTATTGGGAAGGGGTTGATGAGGAGGAAAATTTTGAACTTTGTGAGCTGGGAGGTGGTTTCTTAATTGGTGGACCTCGGGGGGTGTAGGCACAGGTTGAACGTAAGGACTAGAAGCAAAGCCCTGTTGGCTAAATTGCTTTGGCAATTCCAGCATGAATTTTATACCTTATGGTATAATATCATTGTAAGTAGGTACAAATTCTCATCTTTTTGAATATACCAATGGTGAGGTTAGAGGCTCTTCTAGAAACCCATGGGGAAGATTGGAGAGATTGGAGAGATACTTATTGGAGGATAGATGTTTTTAAAGTCTATGTTTTTCTGCCATTTTGTTTGGTAACATGTGCATTTTCTTATAATGTGATTTTTCATCCTATTAGATCGATAAACTGCAATCAAGTTTTCACCAATGGGAAAGGATATCTTCCGATCTAGGAGAGAGAGTACAACTCACAAAAGAGTTGCTCGCTGCCTGTGAGAGCATTGAATGGCAGGTAAATTCTCAATTTTTAAACCATCATGTCCGCTTCTTTTATTTGTTGTGAAACCTTTTTTTTTTTTTGAATTATATATCGAAAATATTGGATAGCATTTGTTCTGACTTGTAAGCATTGTAAATGATTCAATATGTTGCAACTGGTGCTCCTAATTTTGACTTGTAACATAAACTTTCTCTGAAAGTCAGCTTTCTTGATAGGAAGGTGGATGAACTGGACAAAGCTATTGCTGTGGCAGCTAGAGATCCTTCTTGGTATGGCATTGATGATGCAGAACTTGAAAGACGAAGGAGATGGACGAGTACAGCTAGGACACAGGTTAGCCTTTTTTTTTTAATCTTTGTTTCTTTCCATATAGTTGCATGTGCTTCTTGTTTATTATAATGACTCAAGATATTCAGTAATGCGTCAGTTCTTCTAAATAGCTCGAACAAAGCATCTTCTATGTATTTACGTTTCTTTTTGTTACTTTATTAGGTTGGAAATGTCAAGAAAGTAGTGGGAGCTGGAAAGGAGCAAGCTGGAACTGCTAGTTCTAATGGGATGCGTCGAGAATTGATGAGATTACCAAATCCGCACGAAACAGACAGATCAAACTTATATACAGCCCACCAAGCAAATGATGACTTCATCACATCCGAATCTGATCGACAGCTGCTTCTCATAAAGTAACGTTTGTGCATCTTAATTTGGTTGTTATCTGAATCCTTCCTGCTTAAAGTATAATGATGAAGTATCAAAACAACAGAATAAAATGAGAGATGTCATTGTTCGTTAGCACTTTTCCGTCCAAACCTGGGGCTGTTTATGTGGAGTACTTGTTTGCTCACCTGGATTTTGTTTCCCTGTTGAATTTAATATAGGCGGCAGGACGAGGAGTTGGATGAGTTGAGTGCAAGCGTGGAGAGAATTGGAGGTGTTGGGCTTACAATACATGAAGAGCTCAAATTGCAGGTGCAGATTTTGTAGGCTGCAGTGCTGCCAATTGATTCTCTTATACATAGCAATCTGGTTCGATTTTCTAAAACTCGAAAAAAATCTCTATGCAGGATAAAATTATTGACGATCTTGGAAATGAAATGGACAGTACATCAAATCGCCTCGATTTTGTTCAGGTGTGTTTATTATCTCAATGCTTGCCATATGCACAAAATCACCTTCAAGTTCCCAATAATAAGATTAAACCTTTTTTGTATCGACCCTTACAGAAAAAAGTAGCTGTGGTCATGAAGAAGGCCAGCGCCAAGGGCCAGTTAATGATGATCTTGTTCTTGGTGGCTTTGTTCATCATCCTTTTTGTGTTGGTGTTCCTCACCTAGTTTTTGAAGCAAAATGAGGCCCTTGCCATTCACGATGCATCAGAAATGGATATGATAAACCAGAAGATGAGGTACTTTGTCCGAATATCGTCAAAACTATCCCGAAATTTTGAATTGAGAACTACATTGGGTTGATCAGAATTCAGAACCGAGCTTCTGAATTACAAAATGCAATGTGAAACTCATTTGCACTGGCTCCTTATCCTTGTTTTATAGTTTTTTTCCTTTTCTTATTATTATTGTTTTTTTTTTTTTTTTATAGTTTGTTTACTTNTCATTTGCACTGGCTCCTTATCCTTGTTTTATAGTTTTTTTCCTTTTCTTATTATTATTGTTTTTTTTTTTTTTTATAGTTTGTTTACTTTAATTTCATGTAATTATAGAGATCTACACAGATTATGATAATTTGAACCATCTTTATTTCTACGTCATGTGAATGTTTGCTAAATTCACCGCCAGTGGTGAGAGTTTTCTTATTTATAATCATTTGCCAAATACAGAACTATGGTAAATTACAAATAATATGGAAATAGCAATAAAAGGAAAGAATAATAAATGAATACAATATATTTGCCTTTAATAAAAGGGCAAATATGGTAAGCCGTAATGTAAGGCAAATATTGAGATATTTGCTTTATAATGAACGGTCAACTATCCTTAACACCTCTCGCAAGCTGAGCGTCAGATTTAAACAAACGTGAAGTTTGGATCTAAAAAATTTAAAGAGGTCGAGAAATACTTTTTGTGAAGATGTCAGCAACTTGGAGATGAGAGGGTACATATTATGTGCGAAGTTTGCCAGCGTTAACAAGTTCTCGAAGGAAATGATAATCTAGTTTAAAGGAAATCATAATCTAGTTTAACATGTTTGGTCTGGTGGTGAGAAATGGGATTCATCTAGTTCAACATGTTTGGCCTGCTTGTGAGAAATGGGATTCAGCAGTAGTTGTGGCAAGAGCACAATACTCAGATTCACAGTTGGAGCGTGAGATAGTAGGTTGCTTTTTAGCACTCAAAGAAACGAGATTGTTACCAAAATAAATAGAATAGCCGGATGTAGAACGATGAGTATCGGGACAACCAGCCCAGTTAGCATCCGAATAAACGACGAGCGTACTAGGAACAGTGGATGGACGAAAGGTAAGACCAAAGTGGAGTGTTCCTTTGACACAGCGAAGAATACGTTTGACAGCAAGAAAGTGATCTGCAGTAGGGGCATGCAAGAATTGACTGACAGAATTGACAACATAGGCAATATCTGGACGCGTAATAGTCAAGTATTGAAGGGCGCCAACAAGAGATCTATAGAGAGTAGGATCAGAGAAAGGAGAACCATTAGCAGTGAGGTGTTGAGAAACAACCATGGGAGTGTGGACTTGTTTGCTATCGAGCAACTGAGCACGAGTAAGAATATCTCGAGCATATTTTAACTGACTATAAAGAGATCATCAAGAGTGGGTGAAGCTTCAAGACCAAGAAAGTAACTGAGAGAACCCAAATCTTTGGTAGCAAACTCAGAATGAAGCTTGCGAGTAAAGCTGTCAATAAGAGATGAGTTGTTGCTGGCAACAATAATGTCATCAACATAAAGAAGCAAATAGATAAGGTTAGATTGCTGACGAAAGACAAAAAGGGACGTGTCAGTGTGACTGCAAGAAAACCCAAGTGTGAGAAGAAATGAGCTAAAACACTGGAATCAGGCATGAGGAGCTTGCTTTAAGCCATAAAGAGCTTTCTTTAATAGACAAACATGAGTGGGAAATCGAGGATCAATATACCCAGAAGGTTGTTCCATATGAACATGTTCAATGAGAGTTCCATTGAGAAAAGCATTCTTGACATCGAGTTGTCGAAGAGGCCATTTATTTGTGACTGCAATAGAAAGTACAACACGGACAGTGGTAGCTTTGACAATCGGACTAAAAGTGTCAGTGTAGTCAAGACCAGAAACTTGAGTATAACCTTTGGCAACAAGACGAGCCTTGAAACGCTCGACGGATCCATTAGACAAATATTTAATACGAAACACCCATTTAGAGCCTACGATGTTGGTGTTGGCAGGGCAAGGAACCAAAGTCCAAGTATCATTTTGTTGTAATGCTCGAATTTCTTCATCCATGACAACCACCCAAGCAGGATTCTTAGCCGCAGATTTGAATCCTTTTGGCCAATGGATGTAAGAAGAGCAGAAAGAAGTCCAGATGAACCCAAAATATCAAGATTTGCTGGATGACGAGTCTTGAATATACCAGCTTTGGCTTGTGTGATCATAGGATGAGTGCCCAAAGAAGAGGAATCAACAGTAGGTTCAATAGAAGTCGAATTAGAAGTCGAGGGTGGCAAAGTGGAACCTGCAAGAGAAGTATCAACCTGCACAGACTCATCCACAAGGTCAGAACAAATATCTCATGGGGATGAATTGGATCGAGGAATGTGCAGTGATGAAGTGGTAGGGGGGATGAATCAATATGATAAAGATGTGGTTCCAAGAAATTTGAAATAGGAATAGGGGGAAGAGGTTGGGTCTGGGAGCTAGAGATAGCAGGAAAGTGAGTTTCATCAAATTGAGCATGACGGGTGATATATAGCTTAGTGGTGGCGGGATCAAGACAGCGGAACCCTTTGAGTAGGACTATAACCAAAAAAATACAAGGAATGTTGCGGGGAGAAAGCTTGTTAGGCATATAATCGCGCAAATAAGGATATACACGACAACCAAAGGGATGGAAATTGTCATAATGTGGAGTGTAGCCATAAAGGAGTTCAAAGGGTGACTTACCTCCAAGAAGTGGAGTAGGCAATCGGTTGATAATATAAGCTGCAGTGCTGAAGGCGTCAACCCAAAAACGAGGAGAAAGATGAGAGTGAAAGAGAAGTGCCAAGCCAGTCTCAGTCACATGACGATGTTTTCTCTCAGCACGACCATTTTGAGCAAGTGTATATGGACAAGAGAGTTGATGGTGGATGCCAGAATTACGTAAATGAGTTTTGAAACAAGTACTAGTAAATTCGGTACCACCATCGCTTTGAAATACCTTGATACGAGAAGAATATTGATTTTCCACAAATTTTTGAAATTGAAGAAAAATATAAGAAAAATCAGATTTAAATTTTAAAGAGTAAAGCCAAGTGAATCGAGAATAATCATCAATAAAAATAACATAATAAAAAAAACCCGAATTTGATTTGACGGGAGAAGGACTCCAAAGATCACAATGAATAAGATCTAACACATGAGACGACCTACGTTCATTGCAGGAATAAGGCAATCGATGACTTTTCGCAAGCTGACAAGTATTACATAATGATGGAGAAGGCAATAAAGACGTAAGAGAAAGATGACTTTTTCTATTTAAAAAAGAAATAACAGAATGATTCACATGACCCAGACGAGCATGCCATAAATCATATGAAGCACGTAAAGATTTGTTTCTAAGGACTGAAATAAAAGCAGGGTTGCCGCGCTCCAGCACATATAGCCCTCCATCTCTTTTACCGGTTGCCACCACCCTTCCTATTTGACGATTCTAGATAGTAATAAGATTATTAGTAAATGTAATGGAGAGAGAAAAATCAGACGATAATTTACTTATGGAAAGAAGATTTTTAGTGAGGTGAGGGACAACCAAGACATCTAATAAGTGAATATTTGGAACAGGAGAAAGAGTACCGGTGTGGGTAATGGGTAGGGATGTACCGTTTCCTATGATCACAGAGTCCTTACTCGTGTAATTTTTAGACTGATCCAGAATAGATGGGTCGACAGTCATATGGGCCGAAGCTCTAGTGTCCAGAAACCAATTAGCAGCATTGGGTCCAGCAATAGAACATGACGTGTTAAAGGCTTTAGCAAGGTGAGCATGAGAAGAATCAGGTCGAACATACTGTTGGTTGCAGCGGTCAGCATAATGGTTCTCTTTGCGGCATATTTGGCAGTGAGCTGGTTGACGACCCTGACCTGAGTGGGTTCGTCCTCGAATAGAAGAGTTGTGTGAGAATAACAATGACCTTGCTGATTGCTAAAGGAAGCAGGGTGACTTCCATGGGTGCGACCGCGATTAGTGGCTGTGAATGCTGTAGGAGTGGAGTCAAAGGACTCAAGGGAGCGCTGAAACAACTCAAAACTTTCAGCTTTAGAGACTAAATCTGCAAAACAGGGGATAGGGGTGAGAGCTATCTGAGCAGTAGAAAAAGCTAAAAATTCGGTGCCGAGTCCATGAAGGAACCAGTGCACTTTATCAATATCCTCAACGGGTCTGCCAATGGCATGAAGTTTGTCACAAATTTTTTTGAAGGCACGGGCATACTCAGCAACAGGTTTGGTGCCACGTTTCATCAATTGCAAGTCATCCTTGAGTCTCAGTTCACGAGCTTTCGACTGATGGCTGAACGTAGTTTCCAACGCAAGCCAAACATCACGTGCAGTAGAGAGACCAACGACAACAGCCATGGCTTCCTCAGTGAGAGAGGAGAGCAGAAGACAGAGAAGTCGTTGATCGGCTGCTCTCCATGCCAAATATTTGAGGTTGAGTGTTGAGGAGGTTTCTGGTTCAAAGCGAGGGGTGGAACCATAGTTCCATCAACATAGCCCAGCATGTCTTGACTCTCAAGGAGAGGGAGAAGTTGGCTTTTTCAAAGAAGATAATTGGAGGAAGAAAGGAAGAAGATGATAAGAAGATTCGGAAGCCATAGAGAAGAAAGAATCAGGGTTATTAAATCGAAAGGGCTCTGATACCATGTGAATGTTTGCTGAATTCACCACACTTAAATGGTGATGAGAGTTCTCTTATTTATAATCATTTACAAAATACAGAAATATGGTAAATTGCAAATAATATGGAAATAGCAATAAAAGGAAAGAATAATAAATGAATAGAATATATTTGCCTTTAATAAAAGGGCAAATATGGTAAGCCGTAATGTAAGGCAAATATCTTATAATGAATGGTCAACTATCCTTAACACGTCACTTTGTATATCTCGCACGACATACACTTCTGAAGACATGAGGACATATTTGGCCGTGGTTTTATAGAATAACCAAAATCACTTCTCATGTTATTTATGTTGCATACATATATACGCCTCACCAATGATGAAGATATTTTAGGATGACTATTATGTTAGAAAAACATGCACTACCACTTGTAATAACAGTTCACACTGATAGCTAGCTCTCACAATTGTTTTCATGTATCGAATATCTTATCTCTATATATGCCGCTAGAGGATGAATCCACTTCATCCCATTCTCGAAGGTTGTAT